CAGGCATGATAGTACTTGATGGGTTAGTCAAGCATGATAGTAATTGATGTGTTAGCCAAGCATGATAGTACTTCATGGGATAGTACATGATAGTACTTGATGTGCTGGTCAGGCATAATAGTACTTGATGGGATAGTACATGATAGTACTTGATGGGTTAGTCAAGCATGATAGTACTTGATGTGTTAGTCAGGCATGATAGTACTTGATGGGATAGTACATGATAGTACTTGATGGGTTAGTCAGGCATGATAGTACTTGATGGGTTAGTCAGGCATGATAGTACTTGATGGGATAGTCAAGCATGATAGTACTTGATGTGTTAGCCAAGCATGATAGTACTTGATGGGATAGTACATGATAGTACTTGATGGGTTAGTCAGGCATGATAGTACTTGATGTGTTAGTCAAGCATGATAGTACTTGATGGGTTAGTCAGCATGATAGTACTTGATGTGTTAGTCAAGCATGATAGTACTTGATGTGTTAGTCAAGCATGATAGTACTTGATGTGTTAGTCAAGCATGATAGTACTTGATGTGTTAGTCAAGCATGATAGTACTTGATGTGTTAGTCAAGCATGATAGTACTTGATGTGTTAGTCAAGCGTGATAGTACTTGATGGGTTAGTCAACCATGATAGTACTTGATGTGTTAGTCAGGCATGATAGTACTTGATGGGTTAGTCAGGCATGATAGTACTTGATGGGTTAGTCAGGCATGATAGTACTTGATGGGTTAGTCAGGCATGATAGTACTTGATGGGTTAGTCAGGCATGCTAGTACTTGATGGGTTAGTCAGTCATGATAGTACTTGATGGGTTAGTCAAGCATGATAGTACTTGATGGGTTAGTCAAGCGTGATAGTACTTGATGGGTTAGTCAAGCATGATAGTACTTGATGTGTTAGTCAGGCATGATAGTACTTGATGGGTTAGTCAGGCATGATAGTACTTGATGGGTTAGTCAGGCATGATAGTACTTGATGGGTTAGTCAGTCATGATAGTACTTGATGGGTTAGTCAGTCATGATAGTACTTGATGGGTTAGTCAAGTATGATAGTACTTGATGGGTTAGTCAAGCATGATAGTACTTGATGTGTTAGTCATGATAGTACTTGATGGGTTAGTCAAGCATGATAGTACTTGATTGCGAAAAGGATTTAGGAGTTCTGGTTAGCAGTAACCTAAAACCAAGACAACAGTGCATTAGTGTTCGCAATAAAGCTAACAGAATTCTTGGCTTCATATCTAGAAGTATAAATAATAGAAGTCCTCAGGTTGTTCTTCACCTCTATATATCCTTGGTTAGGACTCATTTAGACTATGCTGCTCAGTTTTGGTCACCGTATTACAGAATGGATATAAATGCTCTGGAAAACGTACAAAGGAGGATGACAAAGATGATCCCATGTATCAGAAATCTTCCCTATGAGGATAGACTAAGGGCCCTGAATCTGCACTCTCTCGAAAGGCGTAGAATTAGGGGGGATATGATTGAGGTGTATAAATAGAAAACAGGAATAAATAAAGGGGATGTAAATAGTGTGCTGAAAATTTCCAGCCAAGACAGGACTCGCAGCAATGGTTTCAAGTTGGAAAAATTCAGATTCAGGAAGGATATAGGAAAGCACTGGTTTGGTAACAGAGTTGTGGATGAGTGGAACAAGCTCCCGAGTACAGTTATTGAGGCTAAAACATTGTGTAGTTTTAAAAATAGGTTAGATAAATACATGAGTGGGTGTGGGTGGGTGTGAGTTGGACCTGACTAGCTTGTGCTGCTGGGTCTGGTGCGGTGCTCCGTCCTCGGGCGGGGGTGGCCGGGCTGGGTGGGTCGTTGGGGTGGTCCGAGGGGTGGGTCGTTGGTCTGATCCGGGGAAGGGGATGTGGACCTGCTCCGCGTGGGTCGGTGGGCCTGTTGCAGTGTTCCTTCTTTCTTGTGTTGTGTTCATGATAGTACTTGATGGGTTAGTCAGGCGTGATAGTACTTGATGGGTTAGTCAGGCGTGATAGTACTTGATGGGTTAGTCAGGCGTGATAGTACTTGATGGGTTAGTCAGGCATGATAGTACTTGATGGGTTAGTCAGGCATGATAGTACTTGATGGGTTAGTCAGGCGTGATAGTACTTGATGGGTTAGTCAAGCGTGATAGTACTTGATGGGTTAGTCAAGCATGATAGTACTTGATGGGTTAGTCAGGCGTGATAGTACTTGATGGGTTAGTCAAGCATGATAGTACTTGATGGGATAGTAGTACATGATAGTACTTGATGGGTTAGTAGTACATGATAGTACTTGATGGGATAGTACATGATAGTACTTGATGGGTTAGTACATGATAGTCTTTGGTGATGATACAGAACTAGGGAGAAGGTTGATGCAGGCTGCAACAACTTTGAGAGAGAGAGAGAGAGAGAGAGAGAGAGAGAGAGACAGTAGTGTGATAATGACTGAACGAAACAATCAAAACAGTCACGTGTATACAAATAACACCGAATATAGAGACTTGCCTGATTCACACTAAATTCTCCTGATTAACACAAATTTCATCTCATTTACACAAAAATAACCTGATTTGCACCCAAAATTCATCAGATTCACACTAAATTCACCTGATTCATAAAATATTTGTCTGACTCACACTACGACAATCAGGTAAACACCAAATATGTATCAGTAATCTTTTTGAGAGCAAACAAGGCAAACAATGTGTAGAACTCCGGCGCACAGCCTCCCGGGTTGCTCCTATTTACTCCATAAATTCAGAGGAGCGTGGTAGCGGACCGCCAGTTTACATTCAGAAGCTAATATCCGAAAATTCCGCTGACATATGCTTATGTGGCTGCACCAGCATATGCTTGCATATTTTGGTGCTCCGCTCTCAGCTTTCACTCGTGATTTGCGAGTTTCCTTTTGCTGGTGAACGGTAGGGATGGTTACTGTTTGCTGGTGAACGGTAGGGATGCCTACTGTTTGCTGGTGAACGGTAGGGATGCCTACTGTTTGCTGGTGAACGGTAGGGATGCCTACTGTTTGCTGGTGAACGGTAGGGATGGTTACTGTTTGCTGGTGAACGCTAGGGATGGTTACTGTTTCCTGGTGAACGGTAGGGATGCTTGCTATTTGCTGGTGAGCGGTAGGGATGGCTACTGTTTGCTGGTGAACGGTAGGGATGGTTACTGTTTACTGGTGAACGGTAGGGATGCCTACTGTTTGCTGGTGAACGGTAGGGATGCTTA